GAATACGATTTTTTTACCTATTAAACATTTTTAAATGCTATTTATGATGCAATATTAATCAATAGCGCATAATCCGTCTTTATTTCGTACATGTGTACATCCTATTAGAAATCAACACCTCAGCAAAATCTGTTTGGAGACAAAAAAACATCTATAATCATGCATGCACGCCTCGTCAAAACCTTCAGGTGATGTTGGATGCTTGTTGTTGGATGCTTGGTGGTTGCTTTATAATATAAAGCGGGAAAAACCCTTTTTCGTCTAAAAGGAAAGTACATTTCACATCTGATGCATTCTTCTTATTTTGTACGTCTTCGTATGAATTCATACGTTCATCCCGCTTTAGCTTATATAGCTACGGTGATGCCTTGAACATCAAAAGTATGAGTGTGTCGTTGGAAATTTCCTGCATCAGACCATAAACATTCTAATCAATTTAATTAATCTTATAAAATCTACAACATGTTAGTTACTCTAGGAGCCCGTAGGAGTGTGTAGGTGGCTGAGAAGTCATCACGTGTGATAGGTTGAAAAGTGTGTGGGCTAGCGGGAGAGGATTTGTAGCAGGGAGGTCCCGGGCATGCAACCCGCTTTTTTTATTTTGGCTTTTGATTTTCAATCTTTCGTATCTTTTGAATTAAAAGTTCAAATTATGTTTTATTTTCATATTCATGTTTTCGATGATGATGTCTTTCAAATGACATTAATTTTCAATACATTTTGATGAGTTTTAAATTTTTTGTTAATTTTTAACTTTTGAAACTTGGTACGAGCGACCAACAAACCATCCGTTTTAGAACTTGCGAGCGAACAAAATGGTAAATTTAAGTTTCAACTCTGAATCTAGGTGCAAGCAATCGACAAAATCATTAGCTTCATAAACTAAAAGTTAAAACTTGTTGTACCCTTGTTCGAAATCCAAAGACTATAACGGATCGTGAGGCAATCAGACGCTTGACACGGCTAGGCAGATGCGTTCCCCTGCGAATTTCCACCGAGTTATCGTCTATTCTACACTGTTCACTTAACAATACATTAGGGGCGTGTTTGGTAGCCTTCTGCAATAGTACGAGCATTTCATCCCCATCTCAAGCTAGCCTGGTTAAGCAAAAACAGGCAACAAACCAACATCTGCATGTTGTTTAGTTGCCTGCATTGCATCAATGAGAACTTTAGGGATGGGTGTTTGGTTGCCTGCATATGTGCTTAAGGGCTGAGCAGATGCAAACCACAACTGTTTGGCTACATATACGTTTGTGTTCTGCTCACCCCATTCAAATGTGGTGGCCTTACCATCACATTAGCAGCACAACAGCAGGCACAATTGAAGGCAAACAATGCAAACAAGCAATGCACATGAATATAACAACAGATTAAGAAGCTAACTAATATACTAGGTCCATCGTTAAAAATAGCAGGGGCATCCCATGCCCCCTGCTTCACGCCAGGGTGCTGATCATGGCCAATATATTAACATGTTCGCAACACAAGTTCAAATGATCACCATCAAAGTTCAACACAAACTAGTAACACTAGTAACAGTTCCATAATAAGACAGAGTAACTGATGATCTATAGAGCCTGAGAGAAGTCGCCGACGCAGTTGTGCTTAGTGCTGCACGCCCTACACATGATCGAGCTATCGTGGTTGTAAATCTGCACATTCAGGCCCAGGCCGGAGATTCGCATGATGACGAGATTGCCGGGGGTGATCCCGTGGCGGCGGTAGAAGTACGGCCAGCCCCGGCCAAGCACCATCTCCCCCTGAAAGTTCTGGACCCAAACCCGGAACTCATAGCACTTGTTGGTCGACAGCCTGACGATGCGCGGAGGCTTGATCATTAGCCACTGCTTTATCACCTCCCTGAACTTGGTCGGGATGACAAGCATGGCGAGATCCTCCTTGTCCTTGATCTGGCAGTAGAAACGCAGTGGCTCTCAGGACCCCTCCTCGTGGCCGGTCCTTAGAGATCGTCCCCTTGAACACAGCTGGCTCATGAAGGCGGCCCTGCCAGGCAAGTCCACCCTCTTGAGTCAGTGGTTCGTGGGGATGAATTCCACGGCGCCTCGGCACCGACCACGACCTGAGCTCCTCGACCGGTCCTGCCCCACTCTGTCTTCATCACCTTGTCAGGTAAGATGACATGGGTTAGTAACTGCCTGGTTGGGTTCAGACAATAATCAGTGGCACTTGCCGAAGAGCAAGTGTCACTGATGAGTGGCACTTGCTCATGTGCAGCAACCACTGATTAGTGCAGTTTCCAAAACATGATGAGTGGCACTTGCCGAAGAGCAAGTATCACTGATGAGTGGCTCTTGCTCATGGGCAACAGCCACTGATCAGTGAACATCATGGCCATGATCTAAAACTAGCAGTGCAAGTTGTGACCACTTCCACATTTGGCAGCATGCTACATTGGTACTAGTAACTATACGAGGAAACACAATGGTCCTACAATGTGTATGAGCATGCGTCCTACCTACCATGAACGCCATGCACATAATGAAATAAAGCAACAAACCATGCCTAAGTAAGCACCAATGTAGCTTCAACATCAAACACAAAACCTACCTATGAACAACAAGTCCAATATACCCCGCCTATGAACTATGATGTAACCACTTATGTACAAGAACCAATTAACCCTCCTATCAACAACATGAACAAGAACCAATCTGCCCTCCTACGAATAACATGAACATGAACAATAGTAGCCAAGAATGAACTAATTGGATTGGATTGGATTCGACTCGAATCCAATCGATTCCTTATCATGCCTAAAACAGAAAACCCTAATCTATATGTACGAGTAGAGGGGGAAATAGTACCTTACCGGAGGGGGTCGAGTTGGAGCATACGCCGGCCAGGGAGAAAACCCCGACGGGGAGGAGATGGCATGCCAAGAGGGAAGAGGAGGAGGGGGAGCCGACAATGTCGGCTACCATCGACATTGCCCCGGTGCTAGTGGACATGCGGGAGGTCGAGGAAGCAGGCGCCGTCATCCATGGCCCTGACGTGCTGGCCGAAGAAAACCCTCAGATGGGGGTAACCCCCTCCCACCCAAAGTGGTTTCGAGTAGCGGCACGGTCGCCGCCCCCTCCGGGGCCGCCATCGAACCCATGACCATGAGGTCCGGATATGGCGGTGGAGCCGGAGTGGCCGGCACCGCATTGGTCGGGCGAGGTGGCCTGGTGCAGATGGGTGACGGTGCGCGGAGGACCGTCCTCAAGTCAACGCCGGAGTTCGCGAATCCGGCAATCCGCCTCTCGTGGATGCGGTTCCCGCTGGCCTCGATGGCAGTGAGGGGACGACGCGACGGCGGGTGAGCCATCAGAGGAGAGGAGAGAAACGGACGGTGAGGAGAGTGGTGTGAATGGAGCGTGGGCGGTGACATGAGAGAGAGAGAGAGAGAGGAGTTATTGAGACGTCCCGCCGGTCTGCCGTGCTCCCCGAGGCGTGTAGCCAAGAACCATGTGTGGTCGCGCTGAGCCTGACTGCTGAGAAACTGCCAATTCAAAAGTAGCTCGCGGGCCAGGCCCGAGACTGCTTTAAGTTTCGTGCGGCCCGAGATTTAGATGCAGCCCACGCAACCAAACAACGCGCTTTCATCCCGCGCAGGCCTGGTTGGGCCTTATGCAGACAACCAAACACGCCCCAGACAACCCAGAAATAGAACGTGGGTTAAGAATCTTAAAGCTTGCTCCGCCTTTGATAGTCTTGGTGTTGTCGCGTCTAGGGCTGCAAATGAGTCGAGTTCGGGCGGTTTAGACTAGTCTCAACTTAACTTATACTACAATTTGAGCGAGTTCAAAATGAACGAAGCTCAAGACCGAGCTTTAAAAAGTGGCTCGTGCTCGCTTGTAACGATCTCAAATCGATCTCGAGCTAGTTTTGAGCTAAATAAAAATGGTTTTCTCAATAATCTAATGCAATTTTTGGAACAAGGTAGGCCACAACACAACACAAGAAAGCCTTAGCACGACGACTTCCCGACTCTCTACTACAACAAGTTTTGTCCAGCTCTGTCGTGGGACGAGCGATGATGACGGCGCTCTTTCGGCTCGCTTTAGTGCTTGTAATCGTCGCTAGGTTGTTGTCTACGGATCTGGATGTAATTTTTATTATTTCTGGTGCTCGTTGTATTGCCATGCTTGAAGATGAATAGATCAGAAGTTTTTTCGAAAAAAAAAACCATTATAAATTTTACTTACGTTCTCTCAACTGAAGGCTTGTAATTAATAACAAGAAATTATGAATGAACTAGCAAAGGAAGAAAATGAAGGTACGACTGCTCTTAAACTTTGGCCAAAATAACTACCACATATCATATTAAGGCTAAATTTTCTCCACTCTTAATTAGGCTTTCATGTTTACTAGTAGGTAAACTGGAGAAAAATGGTACACAACATATATGGTACTAAATTATCTTATTTTTTTTATAATACTCCATCTGTTCCTTTATATGAGGTGTATTTGTTTTTTTGATAAAATTTCACAATGTGCATTTGTTCTAATTCCTCCTAGTTCGGTTCTTAGCCATCTAGAAAAAAGGAAAATATCTTTTTACAAATTGCATGTATCTCTTCTTGTGGCAAAAGAAGAAAAGTATCTGTGTCGATTGCATCCATCTCTTTCTTTTTTGGACTAACCGATTTACTTGCCACTAACCAACGATTTGTCAAGGGTATTTTTGTCCTTAATTATCTAAATTATGTGCCTTGATCACCGTGTCAAAAATAATACGCCTTACATAAAGGAACAGAGGAAGTATATATCAAAACTATTTAATAGAATTATATGATATCGAGCTATCGAGCGAGCCAGTGTTGGCTCAATCAGCTCGTTTCTCGATCGAGTTATATTGTTTCTCAATTGAGTTACATGAAGTGCTCATACTCCACTAATTTCTTTTCGAACGAGTCAAAATACGAGTCTCGAGCTTTGTTGCAGCCCTAGTCGCGTGTCGCATTTCTCCTAGAAGCTGGTGTGAGACGCTGCTGTCACAAGGAGACACCACTACTGATGCCCTCGAGGAATACCCTTAGATTACGATCCGACGAGCCACCTTTCCCCAGAGCCTCTACGACCGCCGCCTTCCACTCTGACGCCGCACGCCGTGCGCCCCCCGCGGCCTCGCCCTCCCGCATCACCTCCTCTACACGCCGCCTCACCTCGGCCGCGCGAAGCACGCCGTCGCCACCCACCTCCGCGCGCGCTCCGACGCGCCACTCGCACTCGACGAGCCACGCGTTCATCCGCTGGTCCGACATCTTTGGCACGCACACCATCGGCACGCCGCACGCCACGCTCTCCATCACGGAGTTCCACCCGCAGTGCGTCACGAAGCAACCCACCGCCGCGTGCAACAGCACACGCACCTGGTCTCACCACTCCACCACCATGCCGTTCTTGAGTGGCGCGTCCATCTCCGTCTCCGACGCCTCGCCATCCGCGAGCTCCGCCTTGATGTCCTTCCGGACGACGCACAGGTACGGCCTCCCGGTCTCCTCGAGTCCGAGGAGCAGTTCGTCGAGCTGCTCCCTCTCCATCCTCGCCAGGCTCCCGAACGCGACGTACACCACGGAATCGGCCGGTTTGGCGTCGAGCCACTCCATGTACTTGACGCCGTCCTGCTTGAAGAGGCCGGCCTCGTCGCCGGACGGGAGCACCGGGCCGATCGGCAGCGCGTCGTACGCTCCCACCGCGGCGAGCGCGCCCTCCTCGAGTTCCTGGCACGTGTTGACGAGCACGGTGGCTCTGGGGGTCTCCCTGTCGAGCGTGTCGAACAGGTCGCGGACGGTAGTGTACACGCTGTGGAAGAAGTCGGACGGATCGGTGGACTCGGTGAGGAAGGACGGGAGGTCCCGCACGGCCTGCGGCGGTAGGCCCGGGAACCGCACGAGGAACGACGGGTCATGGCGGTGGTCGGCCACGACGGCGGCGTGGCCATGGAAGTAGTGGTAGTAGACGGCGAGCACGGCGGCCGGCTGGATCCAGTAGAGCGCGGACGGCAAGCCTTTGTCGCGCGCCACGTCCGCGGCCCACGGGAGGAGCATCGTGTACACGACGCGGGTCACGGGGCGGCCGCGCTCGGCGAACGCGTCCACCAGCTCCCCGACGCTGCGCGCGCCCGCGGCTTGGAAGGACGCCATGTAGTCGGTGAACGCGGCAGGGTCGGTGCTGCTCCTAACGTACCCGGCCTCGGTGCCGTCCGAGAACGGGAGGAGCTCGAGGCGGCAGTCATCGCCACCGCCGCCGTCGGGCGCGCCCGCCTCCGCCGGGAACATGCGGCGGTGCGCTGCTTCAGTGGTGGAGAACGTGACGAGCGCGTCGGGCGCGGCGGCGAGCAGGCGCCGGGCGAGGCGGAGCGCCGGCGCGATGTGGCCCTGGAGCGGGAACGTCAGCACGAGGAAGTGCGGCTGCGGAGACATGGCCCCCTCTCTGACCCCTGTCACGGGTGGCTTTCGCGTAGCGCTAGATGGGGCGCAGTCGATCTGCGACGACGGCAAGCAAGCGATTTGTGTGGTGGCGCGAGGGAGCGTGGGTTTTTATGGTTCCGCGCGTGCCCGTCACATGTTTGACGAAACAGACGTGGGGAGCTAGGTTTGTGTCAGGTGTGACGTATCTAGGTTCTACGCCCCACCGTTCATATAGGTGCGCTGCGTCCATCCATTGGTTCATAAAGAGTCCAAATTTTATACTGTTGAAGACATAACAGTCCAATCGTATCAGTTGGCGACGTGAACAATCAGGCATAGGGTTCGGGGGGGCGGCCGGTTTGGTTGGACACCGGTGGCGCGGCTCCTGCCGTCCTCGGACTGCTGCTCATATTCAGTTTTTTTAACGTTGTCAAAAAGTTTTAATTAAGGCGAACAGAGCTGTCTAGTTAATTAACGGAAATCGGTCAAAAACTGTCACAAACTTGCTCATCCATATGAAATGCTGCCAAATAGTGGAGCCACGGGATCACAGAGGCCAACAACACACTTGACAAAAAATCACTGTAACCTCTAGGAGCATCTCCGATAGACGGTCCAAATGTAAAAATACCTAACTTTTAAACCGTCTGGGGCAAAAAACGCTGCTCCAACAGACGGTCCATATGTAAAAAAATTGGCCCGCGGCCTCCCGGTGATGTAAAATACAACTCGCGGTGCAAATTTGCATCACGAGATACAACTGGTTCAAATTCGGCGATCGCCCGCACCCGTCCATCCGCCCTTCATTTCATTTCACAACCGTGTCCGTCCGCCCGCCCGGACACCAGTCGGCCGGAATCCGCCGCCGCCACCGTCCAAATCCCCGCCGCTGTCACCGCCACCGCCCTTGCCCCCATCGCCGGAAGCCGTCTCGCAGCCGCCCTGGCGCCACCGAATCGGGAGGCACCCGCGGTGGGATTCGGCGCCTCCTGCGGTCCGCCTGCCCCTGTAGGCCTCCGTCGGGTCCTTAGGCCGCCGCCCGCCTCTGCCGCTACCGCTGCTCGCTGGCCTGCCCCGTTGCCACCGCCTCCCTGCCCCGCCGCCACCCCGCACTGACCCCATCCAGTCGAGCTGCCGGCCCTGCTGGCCCGTGCAGCGCGCTCGTGCCGCTGCTCGTGGTGTTCGCGTCGGCTGCTAGCCGCCTCCGTCACTGCTGGCCGGCAAAGGAGCACCTACAGGGGAGCTCGAGCTCCGGCCATGGCGACCACTGACGAGCACGAGAGCGGTGGCAAACTACACTGATTGAAGGGGAAAAATAGGGGGATTGGGAGAGGAGCTCATCACGAGGGGAATGGCGCGCTCGGGGAGGTCAGGGAGAGCTTGATGGCGACGGATTTGACGAAGGCGACCGACGTCCCGAGGTTGAAGAAGACGATCAAGGCGACTTTACATCTTCGTTTTGGACCATTTGTTGGAGTTGCTCTTTTACATCTCCGATTTGGACCATCTGTTGGAGTTGAGCATTTTTTGGAGCTCCAAAACGCACTTTTTGGCGGTCCATACTTTACATCTCCGATTTTGGACCGCCAAAATTTAGACCATCTATTGGAGATGCTCTAAGCACTTGGATCACAACATCATCAATGAAACCCCGTGGCCCCACTACAACTTGAGAAAAATACAACGGCAAAGACAACACACATCTCAGCCCACTTTCAACAAAAAAAGACACATCTCAGCCCACATTTGCATCCTAGATAGGTGTATCATGAAACCATTTGCGCCTTCACATTATAGCTACCCTTCTTATCTTTGCACCTACTAGATTTCTTCTTGTGAATTCTGTCAAAAAGAAAAGATTTCTTCTTAGCGAATCAACCTGTGGTTGGATGGTTAGAGGGACTGTGGTATCCCCAGCCCACCAGGGTTCAAATCCTGGTGCTCACATTTATTCCTGGATTTATTTCAGGATTTCCGGCGATGCACATTCAGTGGGAGGAGACGTTCCGTCGACGATGAGGTGCCTACAGTGACTTCGTAAATTTCAAGATGATATGCCGACTCAGTATTTCGGAGGTGCTCATAGGGGTAGGGTGTGCATGTGTGCGTTCATAGGGATGAGTGTACGCACGTGTATATGAGTGCTTGTGTCTGTACAGATGTTCAAAAAAAGATTTCTTCTTGTGAATGCCAAATTGAGGGCGAACAATACCGTTCTTTGCATTTGTTCCTCTTTGCATTATGCTTCGAGAGACATCAGATCAATTTTTTTCTTCGAATTTAGCATCCAAATTAAATAGGTATTTGACAAACTTAATGGTGAATATGTCCATGAGGTTAGGCAGCGGCACAACGGTCACATCATCACCCACATGAACAACATGCCCGATGTACTCAGGCGAGTGTGTGGTAGTTGTCGGGGTTACGATCCTGACAATGAGTACTAGGGGTACGAAAGAGGGGCAGAGCCTAGCTACAACGCAGGTGTAACACTCGGTGTTTAACGAGTTCAGGCCCCTCCCGAAGGAGGTAACAACCCTACATCTCGTGCCCTGAGGCTTGTTTTCTTTGGGGGGGGGGGTATGACTACAGAGATTGCTTAACCCCTGCCTAAGAGGAGGAGTGCGGCTTACATAGAGTGCACCGCAGCCTCCATTGCTCCCATGTCACCGGGGCACCTAATGCTCGTAACTACGGCAGTTACAGGTCTAAATAGTCACAATAACGACAGCTATAGGTCATGGTTGCTATGACTATACTTCAAGAATGACATAGGATTCCCCGACTGTTGCAGCTCCGATATCGTGCCTTCATCTCCTTAGTCCGAGTGCTTGTAGACATGCCGACTGAAGAGGAGGCATCTGAGTGCTGTCGAGGTGTCCGAGTGGACTTCCAGTTATACACATCTGAATGTTAATATGGTCCAGAGACACATCAATGATGGTGTGGCCCCCTCCAGATGATAGGCCTTGACCCTACCTATAGTAGGTGATCTCATCATTAGCCCGCGAATCGGTTGAGGTTTCGTATGGCAAACGGACTGAGCCTCTCGGTTAAGCTCGAATGCTTCAGGGGCACTCAAAATATGTTTTCGAATGGTGGCTTTCTATGCCTTGTATGAAAACACAAGGATTCTAGACTAAAGGGTTCCCTGAATGACCATGTGTTGTTGACCGCCGAGAAAAACTTGGTGGCATTCATTTGACTCTCAGTAGAGAAAGACTTGAGGTTCGAGTGTGGACATGCCATTACAACTCGAGTGGCGATGGTCTGACTCTCCGGGGAGATGCTACTCCTTATCCCAGGGGAACACTAGCGCGGGTCATCTCCAAGTCTTAGTTTGCGAGTCATGCCCCTTGGAGCCTAGTGAAAGGGCCAAGTTAACCCGCGGAGGGGCGTCAAGCTCGCCTCATAGCAATCTTGAAGGTGACTTCAGTCGGGTGTTTAGCATGGTCGAGTGCATGGGTCCCCGCGGAAGGTGGTCAGTCAGGACTGACGAATGCCCTTTAGAAAAGGGACAACGGGCCGTCAATCGGATTTGATTCGCTGCAGAAATTGCGAGATTGAATTTGAGTGTGCACGCGCAGAAGCGGTAACGATGTGGGTTAGTGGGGAAAGTGGGGGCATGATGCCTCGATTATTGCTACCTCTTGAGCTTGCGTTGTTTTTCCCTTGAAGAGGAAAGGGTGATGCAGCAAAGTAGCGTAAGTATTTCCCTCAGTTTTGAGAACCAAGGTATCAATCCAGTAGGAGACGACGCACATGTCACTAAATACCTGCACAAACAATCAAGAACTTGCAACCAACGCGATAAAGGGGTTGTCAATACCTTCATGGTAACTCGCAAAAGTGAGATCTAATAGAGATAATAAAGTAAATATTTTTGGTATTTTTGTCGTATAGATTGGAAAGTAAAGATTGCAAAATAGTAAACGAGATTCAACAATATGGAAAAGAGACTTTTATTTAATGGAAAAGAGACCCCGGGGACATAGTTTTCACTAGTGGCTTCTCTAGAGATAGAATGTATTACGGTGGGTGAACAAGTTACTGTCGAGCAATTGATAGAAAAGCACATAATTATGATGACATCTAATGCAATGATCATGAACATAGGCATCACGTCCGTGTCAAGTAGACCGAGACAATTCTGCATCTACTACTGTTACTCCACTCATCGACCGCTATCCAGCATGCATCTAGAGTATTAAGTTCATAAAAACGGAGTAACGCATTAAGCAAGATGACATGATGTAGAGGGATAAACTCAAGCAATATGATATAAACCTATCTTTTTATCCTCGATGGTAACAATACAATACGTGCCTTGCTGCCCCTACTGTCACTGGGAAAGGACACCACAAGATTGAACCCAAAGCTAAGCACTTCTCCCAAGGCAAGAAAGATCAATCTAGTAGGCCAAACTAAACCGATAATTCGAAGAGACGTGCAAAGATATCAAATCATGCATATAAGAATTCAGAGAAGAACCAAATAATATTCATAGATAATCTTGATCATAAATCCACAATTCATCGGATCTCGGCAAACACACCGCAAAAGAATATTACATTGAATAGATCTCCAAGAACATCGAGCAGAACTTTGTATTGAGAATTGAAGAGAGATAAGAAGAAGCCATCTAGCTAATAACTATGGACCCGAAGGTCTGTGGTAAACTACTCACGCTTCATCGGAGAGGCAATGGTGTTGATGTAGAAGCCCTCCATGATCGATTCTCCCTTCGGCAGATTGCCGGAAAAGGCCCCAAGATGGGATCTCACGGGTACAGAAGGTTGCGCTGGTGGAAAAGTGGTTTTGTGACTGCCCCCCTGATGTTTCTAGGGTATAAGAGTATATATAGGCGAAAGAACTAGGTTGGTGGAGCTACAATGGGCCCATGAGGACGGGAGCGCGCCTACCCCCAGGGCGCGCTCTCCTGCCTCGTGGACGCCTCGTTGTGTCTCTGACTTCAACTCCAAGTCTTCTGGTTTGCTTTCGGTCCAAGAAAG